ACATCATATAATTGGTCAGTCATTGATTGAAGCTTCAAGTAAACCTCAGATTTAAGAGTAATAGGCATAAATAGCATTTGTCTGGTTTTTGTTCGTATGAAATTATGTATTCTAGTCATGTTTTGAAGGAGACCTGCTTTAACCAAATCATGAGATACTTTTATAACATCCCTCTTAGTTCTATTAGCAAATTAGGTCTATCTAGAACGCAAAACTTTTGGAAGAACATACTTTCGAAAATCTAATATGAGTAACTTGCATGGCCATTCGTTTCTTGGTCTTTGTGTAACCTGATGAGTTTCTAAAAGTTTGTTCTTCGTGCCTTCTTCTGATATATAAAGCAAAACTTTTTTTTAAGTATCCCTCAATAGATTTATACTGGCGTAGCTTTTATTTCGCTGGAGAAGCAGGGTCGAATGACTAAAGTCAGTATTCAACATCAACTTACACTTTCATAAACGAATGTTGAATATAATGAAGTCGGACAACCTAGTATCAGGTATGCGTGCTTAATTGTCAATCTGACATTTGCTTAAACAACCTTGTCTATTTCTACTACTCAATCAAGGTTGACTGATGTCTTAAAAGCTCAATTCGAGCAGGCCAAACTAGGAATTCGCTAGAAACTTCGGATTAACCATAATCTACTCATCTTCTAGCAAGTAATATCTTTTAATTTAATTAAAAATCGATTATTAAAATACGGATCTTTGTAGTAGAGTGCTGAAATTCCGGTCTGAGGGTTTGATTATTTCTATTACTCATACAAGCTTTACTAATAGCTTCGTAGCTTACTTGAAACAGCATGAAGGGAATATAATAAAACAGCATGTCTCACCGTTTTTTTGTCCGCATCTCTGCGACTTCAATCCTGATCCTTCTTGGCCATTAGACTGTCGTCTGCTCAAATTTCCGCTCAATTCATGCGGATCGTCTGACGTCTTGAGCTTGTTCGTTGGTCTTTTGTCAAACGAAGTGTGGCTGAAACGGCTTCCGGTGCCGGATCCGCTGGAACCTCGACTATTCACAGTCGGCCCGACCCGCCGAGACGGGCATCGACGAGCAGCAGAATTGGGTGTCCCGCCTTCCGGCAGGCTGGACTCCGATCTCGGCGAATCCCTGATCCGGCCGGCCGACTTAGCGGATCCTGTAGTTGCCAGGGTGTTTCGTGGTGCTGCTGATGTTGCCGTCTGACGAGGCTGTACGCCAGGTTGGGCCCGAAACCGACACCCGGCAGCCGGGCTGGCCATGCTCGAGGCGAAGAAGCTGACGACAAGAGCAGATGTGCCCACGAGGGGAGGTGAGGGGGGGGGCGAGTAAAAGTTGATCTTAAAAAGTCTGAAAGTGAAAGCACCGAACGAAGCTACACGACAAAAAGAGGACAGAAACGTCCTAGTAGACGGCTTGAATCAAGTGATGACCCGACCACAATTGATTTTGTTCAGAATACTAAACTGTTGGCAACGTGATTGAAACCAGCCTGGCGTAAGCGTGATTTCGGTCAGCAACTCAAACCGGCACCGCAGAATGTCTCCGCACCGAAAGGGCATCGCTGCACTCGGACAGACAGACGCAAAGATGGCCGGAGATAAAGAGCGAGTGGCGGACAGAAGCCCTCTAATCCTGTACATGCATGTCGACATAGAGGCAGATGTGCACAAGAGTGGTTGGTGGAGAGATGTGCAAATCACGCCTAAATGGAGGCGAGTCTGAGCCAATTTGAGTGTGCTTCGTGAAACCACCAGTGTTGACGACGATACGTCAGGCCATAGCTAGTCGCCACGGACAAGACTTCGACAACCTGGCAGGTTGAACCGCAGCGGCTGAGGCTCTTCGAGGAAGAGCGCCGATGGCCAGGACGAAGGGAACACGGCGAAAGAGAGGATTTCGGTGAAATCCATTCTCGCCCATTTAGAGAAAGATTTCGAGGCTATCAGTAAATGTTGAAATAAGAGCCATTTGCGAATGAAAGTTGGGTTTCAAGCAATCTCTTGTTTCATAATTGTTCGACTCACTTCCATTTCGAGGAAAAGTGTTTGGTGAAGAGATTCGAAAGTCGATTCCATCAGACGACGACGGCACATTCCTCTTTACCACTTGCCGATTGGCTTAACATAAACATTCTTGTTGACGCCGTTTCCGGGGCAATCTTCTTCGTTCTCGGTGAAACGTGCTACAGTTTCGTATGTCGTGTGGAGGACATCATCATAGCGGATAGTATCCTCACAATCATATTCAAGATAATGAGTCAAGAAAACTCGCGTTTTGTATATAAACCATCTATCAATGCTCTCCGGTGAGGTATTAAGCGATCTGGTTAGTTAAAATCATACGCAAACCTTGAAACATGTGAATGTATATGTGTGTGTTGTGTGCGTGTGTGTATGCCTATACGCGCTCGTATATATACGAAACCAGCAGTAATGGCTCAAATTAATTAGAATAGAAGAAGTAACGCTTAATTTCGGCTGTCAAGGTTTGATGACCACCATCACCCCTTATAAATATGTATTTTAATCGTCACTCCGATTGGGCAAGGTCGGACAAACGTCTGGTTATGTGGATATGCGTTTTGTCTTCATGTGAGGTAGAAAGAGGAGACTGTAAGGATGATAGTATCTGTTTGAATGATGTCCGTCACACGACGGACAAAAGGTCAGCAAGTTTTCACCGGAATCGAAAGTGATTGCCTCGGAAACAGCGTCAACAAGAATGTTCCAGTAGAGCCAATCGACAGCAGGTCTACTGGTGGGATCGAGTTTCGAATCTTTTCGGCAAACGCTTTCACTCATCAGCTCCAGGACGACGATCATCGAAGTCTCTTGGCAGCAGATAAGTTCCGGAAACTGACATATCAACACGATTCTTCGCTGTTTTTGGCCTCAAAGCCAATTCCTCTGCCGAGGATACATTTTTCCCGCACTGCCTTTTAGCAGACGGCACACAATCTCGGCCAAATTATCCCAACAATTAGGTTGGGGCTGCAGTCATGAAGATGCGCACAGTTCTGGGTAAAATATGATTCATCTGGCAACACGTAAACTTGTTGACTTGGCAACTAGGCCGTAGATAACGCTTGCGATAGTTGGTTGGACTATTTGCAATTTTCACGCTCTATTCCAGTTCACAAGCCGCCTCAGAGTCAGCCCAGCAGGGAAGTCTGAAATCGAAAATGTCTAATGACTACACAAACAGACGAAGCTTCTTTTCA